AACATGGATGAATCTTGAAAACATGCTGAGTGAAACAAGTCAGTCACAAAAGGATGAATACTGTATGATCCCACTTACACGAAATAACTAGGATAGGCAAGTGTATAGAGATCAGAGTTTTATTAGTGGTTACCACGGGTGGGTGGGAAGGAAGAGCAAAGGGGGCTCACTGCTTAGGGAACACTGAGCTTCTGTTAAGAGTGGTGGAAAAATTTGGAAATGGATAATAGTAATTGTTGAATTACATGATAAACATAACTAATGTCACTGAGTTGTACACATGAAGAATGTTGAAAGGGCAAATAATTTGTTACACATATATTTACCACAATTAAAGTTTAAACAACAAAAAGACAACCCATTCATAAAATGGGCAAAGGACTTGAATAGACATTTCACCAAAGAGGACATTCAAATGGTTACCAAACACAAAGATGCTCAGCGTCATTAGCCATCAGAGGGATGCAAATCAAACCACAAGGAGATACCATTTCATTCCCACTAGGATGGCTGGTGCAGTGGTTAAGAGCTATGGCAGCCACAGCTGCTAACCAAAAAGTCAGCAGTTCGAAACCACCAGGCGCTCCTTGGAAACTCTATAGAACGATTCTACTCTATCCTATAGGATCGCTCTGAGTCGGAATCGACTCAACGGCAGCGGGTTTGGGTTTTTTGTTTGTTTGTTTAGGATGGCTAAGATGAAAAAAGAAAAAAACAGAAAATAACGAATGTCAGCGAGGATGTGAGTTCCAAAATAACAAATTGGAACCCTTACCCATGGCTGGTGGGAATGCAGAATGGTACAGCAGTTGTGGAAAACAGTGGCAGTTCCTCAAAAAATTAAAAACAGAATTACCATACCAAAAACCCGTTGCCGTTGAATCGATTCCAACTCATAGTGACTCTATCGGACAGAGTAGAACTGCCCCACAGGCTTTCCAAGGAGCTGCTGGTGGTTCAAACTGCTGACCTTTCGGTTAACAACCGAGCTCTTAACTACTGCCCCACCAGGGCTCCAGAACGACCGTATGACCCAGCAATTCCACTCCTAGGTATATACCCAAAAGTCTCGAAAGCAGAGCCTCAAACAGAGACTTGTACACCAATGTTCATTGCAGTACTATTCACAATAGCCAAAAGGTGAAGCAACCTAAATGCCCATCAGCAGATAAATGGATAAACAAAATGTGGTACGTACATACAGCCAGTAGAAGAAATGAAGTCTTGATACATGTTACAGTATGAATGGAGCTGGAAGATGTTATGCTGTCTCAAATAAGTCAGTCACAAAAGGACAAATATTATATGACCTTACTTATATAAGAAGACAAGAAAAGACAAATGTAAAGAGACCAAAGTTTATTAGTGGTTATCAGGGGTGGGAGGGAGGGAGAAAGGAAGGGTTGGGGGTTAGCGGTGACCACACTGATTAAGGGTAGGGTTGCACAGCTGATTATTGTAATTACTGTCAATAAGTTATACACCTCTAAAAAGTTGAATTGGCAAAAGTTGTGTGATAGATATATTTACAACAATGATGAAAAAAAGTAGCTGCTGAGGCTGCTAATGTACAACCAAAAACCTCATGGGATTTGGTTTCTTGGTTTGGAGATTTAGGGTCATGGTTTCATGGGACATCCCAGTTAACTGGTGTAATAACATGGTTAGTGCTTCTGTTCTACCTGTCAGTTCGATGCATAGTGCCTAGGGTCTTAAAAGCTTACAAGCGGCTATCCAAGGCACAGCAATTGGTCTCTATTTACCTGGAACAACAGAGGAAGAAGGAGAGTCAGGAATAGGAGGAGGAAATGGAACGTGTAGCTAATTGCCTCCATGAACAACTGCCTCCTTTGCCATGAGACCAGAAGAACTGGATGGTGCCCGGCTACCATTACTGAACATTTTGATCAAAGATTCTATAGAAGAATTCTGAATAAAAATTGGGAAAATGCAGAAGTTCAAATTCTCATGGACTCCAGACTTTCTAGAGCCATAGATGTTGGATGAACCCCTGAATCTATTGCCCTGAGATAATTTTTAAACCTTAAACCAAAAATATCCCCTGAAGTCTTCTTAAAACCAAACAATATTTTAACTTAACTAGTAAAAAGGTCTGCCTTGAGCATTATGCTCTTTTAAGAACTAGCTATATGGGATCAAAGTGACAACAGCAGCTCGAAAGATTAGATAGGAACCTCAAGGAGTAGTGAGTTTATGCTAATGGAACAACTCAGAAAAGGAGAGTGAGAAGGGTTGCACAACTCAAAGAATGTAGTCAGTGTCACTAAATGGTACATGTAAAAACTGTTGAATTGGTATATGTTTTGGTGTGTATATTCTCAACAACAACAACAAAATAAATAAAAAAAATTTTTCAGTTAAAAAAATGCAGATTCCTGGACCCTGCTTCTGGATACTTGGGTTTAATAGGTCTGGACTGGGGCTCCTGTTGCTGTCGAGTTGATTCCGACTCTTAGCGAGCCTATAGGACAGAGTAGAATGCCCCATAGGGTTTCCAAGGAGTGGCTGGTGGATTCAAACTGTGGACCTTCTGGTTAACAGCCAAACACTTAACCAGTGCACCACCAGGGCTCCGACTGGGGCTCAGGAATCAGTATTTTTACAAAGCATCTTTCCTGATGTCTGATGGTTTGGGAGCCACATTGTATGCTCACCTCCATAATTCAAGTTCAGATTCACGGTGGGATGGGGAGAAATCAGAAAACTCAGGAATTAACTCCTGGTCACCACTAAGGTTTTCCAATTCATTTCCCAATTAACAGGTGGAAGAAATGGACGCAAGGATGAGACGAGAGCTGGATAGCTGGGGGCTTAGAACAAAACCCAAGACCCTGCCTCTCCTCCCCCGCCCCTCCCCACATACCTCCCTATCAGAATTCCTTATTCTCTGTAATGTCATGTTGTACCTTTAAAACACAAAGGAAATATTCCTCCCCTCCGCCACCCCCTGTCCACCCCTACCCCACCCCCACCCAAAACCTGCCCCTGTTGAACTACGGAGGAATCTGTTAACAGCTCTGTCAGAAGGCCCCGCAAAGCAAAGCTAAAAGCATCCTTTTGGGCTTTGATGTCACTCTCAACAGGATGCTTCCTTTGAAAGCTCCGAGACAGCCCTGTTATTTCCTCTGACAGCCCCAGTGAAATGAGAAGTGGTGTCCCCGCCCAAGACTGAAGGTGTGATTCCTGGAGAGAGACACATGTGGCTCCAGGGTGGGAGCACTGGGCTCCCCCCTCCCCAAGCCTGCGGGAACCAGGCTGGGCAGCCTCGTGAGCCCAGGGCCCCTGAAGTCTGACTCCTCACCTCCCTTGTGCCTTACTAGGGAGATCAAGAGCCTAGACATTTCCCTTATCCTGACAGCTGGTCCGCGCGTCAGCGCTGTGAGAAGAATGTCCAGAGGCTGACCTGCCTGTTTGACCCATTTTTCCTTCCCCCGGGAGCTGCAGGCCACCTGTAGGGAAAGGTCAGGAAATGCCACCACCCCATCAATGCCATCACCCTGTCTCTGGAGGCATCTAGGAAGAAATGCCTGGCAATCTACTTCCAAAATATCAGCCATTGAAAACCCTATGAAGCACAGTTCTACTCTGACTCATATGGAGTCACCATGAGTTGGAATTAACTCGACAGCAACTGTTTTGTTTTTTAAGTGCAAATCTCAGTAGATAGATCATAGGCACAGATTAGGTAACCCAGAAACAACCCTAGTATATGTAACAAGTGGGTGGATGACAAAGGTGGTTTCCCACATTTGTGAGGAAAAAAAAAGAAAAGCACAATACATGCTATTGGGATGGCTGGTACCTCTCAAGAAAAAATGGTTAGAATTGTGCCTTACAGCTTCACCCAAGATAAAGTCAACTCCAGGGGGGTTACATGTAAACAATAAAGTACTCTCAGAAAACCTAGATTAATATGTCTTGACTATCAAGGCAGGGTATCACTTTATAAAAGCAGTGAATGAAGCTACAAGAGAAAAAAATAATAAATTTGCTGCCTAAAAATTAAAATTTCTGTATGTTAACAAATAGGAGCCTGGGTGGTGCAAGCAGTTTGCAATCAGCTGCTAACCTAAAAGGTTGGTGGTTTGAACTCACCCAGCAGCTCTGCGGAAGAAAGGCCCAGCGAACTGCTTTGGTAACGATTACAGCCAAGAAAACCCTACGGAGCAGTTCTGCTCTGTAACATGGGGTCACCAGGAGTCAGGGGCCGACTCGATGGCAGCGAACAACACCAACGTATGCTAAAAAACATAAAAACACCGTATGCAAAACTAGGAGGTAAATGATAGACTGGGAAAATCTAGCAAAGTGAAGTATTAATATTCTTAATATATTAAAGAACTATTACAAATTAATGATAAAGCTAAAGAACTGTTCAAGTGAGACGAACTAACAACAAAACTACAACACAGGGCTTTGTGTGTGTGTGTGTGTGTGTGTGTGTGTGTACAGCTATACTCATGTAGACAAAAGTCTGAAAAGGAATATAAAAAATATTTGTGATTTGTAATCCTTTAGACTTTTCTATACTTTCTGGATTTTCTATGCTGATTTTATTTTATGATAAAAAAACAAAACTTATATATCCATTTCTAATGCCCGTTCCATTGGCTGGCCTCAGGTAAGCTTGCTTCTGACAGACCCTACATAAAAGCAGCTTGCAAGCACAGCAACATTTTGTCTGCAGCATTTCCCACCACCACCCCACCCACCACAGGAGAAGATCTCAGTTCCTTTGTTCTCTTCCCTGTATCCCTTTGTCTCTGAATGTGAAACGGTGGCCACATGCTCGTCTGCTTGCTTTGGGCCTGTTTCCACCATCCTTGCCGGAGAGCGAAATCTTTCATTTTTACCTGCACCCACTCTCGTGCCCTCTTTGGGTGCCCACTGGGGTGGGTCAAGGGAGCAACTCCCAAAGCAAGGCTGGTTTCTTTGGCCTTATGAGGAGACACTGACCTGTCTTTGTTCATGTTCCGCAGATATGATGCTGCCTGACGTGCTTTGTGATTGAAGCAGTTACCATTTCCTGTGCTGAAGCCACTCAGAAAACTTAAAGCACTAGACTTCAGCATTCAAGGGAAGCCAAAGCCATTTGCAGGAGAATAAAGCCAAAAACCTTGCATCTTATTTGTTTTAAGGATTGCACCGCCCCAACCCCCACCCACCCCCCAGAAAGAACCATTGCACTCAAGCAGGCAGAATGGCAAGCAAACGAAAATCTACAACTCCCTGCATGGTTCGGACATCACAAGTAGTGGAGCAAGACATGCCCGAGGAGGGAGACAGGGCCAAAGAAAAGGGAATGGCCACGCCACAGCCTGATGTGGCCAAGGACAGCTGGGCAGCAGAACCTGAAAACTCTTCCAAAGAAAATGACGTGATCGAGGTGAAATCTACGGGGGAACCCCCATCCAAAAAGCTCCAAGGTGGGTACGAATGCAAATACTGCCCCTACTCCACGCAGCACCTGACCGAGTTCACAGAGCACGTTGACATGCAGCACCCCAACGTGATCCTCAACCCCCTGTACGTGTGCGCCGAGTGCAACTTTACGACCAAAAAGTACGACTCCTTATCCAACCACAACTCTAAGTTCCATCCTGGGGAGACAAACTTCAAGCTGAAGCTAATCAAACGCAATAATCAAACTGTGTTAGAGCAGTCCATCGAAGCCACCAACCATGTTATCTCCATCACCCATGGTGGCCCCACATGTGGCGACAGTGATCCCGGGATCTCAGTGAGCAAAACCCCCATCATGAAGCCCGGGAAACCAAAAGCTGATGCCAAGAAGGTGCCCAAGAAGCCTGAGGAGGCCCCCGCCGAGAACCACGTGGACGGGACTGCCCACTTGGTGGCCGACGCAGCTGAGATCCTCTCGCGACTTGGTGGCGTGGAGCTTCTCCAGGACTCGCTAGGGCATGTCATGCCTTCTGTACAGCTCCCACCAAATATCAACCTTGTCCCCAAGGTCCCTGTCCCACTGAATACTACCAAATACAACTCTGCCCTGGACACCAACGCCACCATGATCAACTCCTTCAACAAGTTCCCTTACCCGACCCAGGCTGAGTTGTCCTGGCTGACGGCTGCCTCTAAACACCCGGAAGAGCACATCCGGATCTGGTTCGCCACCCAGCGCTTAAAACACGGCATCAGCTGGTCCCCGGAAGAGGTGGAGGAGGCCCGGAAGAAGATGTTTAATGGCACCATCCAGTCAGTGCCTCCGACCATCACTGTGCTGCCCGCCCAGCTGGCCCCCACCAAGATGTCACAGCCCATCCTCCAGACAGCTCTGCCGTGCCAGATTCTTGGCCAGACCAGCCTGGTGCTGACTCAGGTGACCAGTGGGTCGACTACCGTGTCTTGTTCCCCCATCACTCTTGCTGTGGCTGGAGTGACCAACCACGGCCAGAAGAGACCTTTGGTGACTCCCCAAGCTGCCCCTGAACCCAAGCGTCCACACGTCGCTCAGGTGCCAGAGCCCCCACCCAAGGTGGCCAACCCGCCACTGACCCCTGCCAGCGACCGCAAGAAGACGAAGGAGCAGATAGCACATCTCAAGGCCAGCTTCCTCCAGAGCCAATTCCCTGACAACGCTGAGGTCTACCGACTCATCGAAGTGACCGGCCTCTCCAGGAGCGAGATCAAGAAGTGGTTTAGTGACCACCGGTATAGGTGTCAAAGAGGCATTGTCCACATCACCAGCGAATCCATTGCCAAAGACCAGATGGCCCTAGCGGCCACTCGACACGGTCGCACGTACCACGCATACCCAGACTTTGCCCCACAGAAGTTCAAAGAAAAGACACAAGGTCAGGTTAAAGTCCTGGAAGACAGCTTTTTGAAAAGCTCTTTTCCAACCCAAGCAGAACTGGACCGGCTCAGGGTGGAGACCAAGCTGAGCAGGAGAGAGATTGATTCTTGGTTCTCGGAGAGGCGAAAGCTTCGGGACAGCATGGAGCAAGCTGTCTTGGATTCCATGGGGACTGGCAAAAAAGGCCAAGATGTGGTGGCCCCCAATGGTGCTCTCTCTCGACTTGACCAGCTCTCCAGCGCCCAGCTAGCCAGTTCTCTGCCTAGCCCTTCACCAGCAATTACAAAAAGTCAAGAGCAGGTTCATCTCCTGAGGAGCACATTTGCAAGAACCCAGTGGCCCACTCCCCAGGAGTATGACCAGTTAGCGGCAAAGACTGGCCTGGTCCGAACTGAAATCGTGCGTTGGTTCAAGGAGAACAGATGCTTGCTAAAAACTGGGACTCTGAAGTGGATGGAGCAGTACCAGCACCAGCACATAATGGACGATCACATTTATGACGCTATCTCAAGAAAAGCAACAAAACCCATTGCCGAGAGCCCAAAGAATGGGAGCGAGGGGGTGCAGCAATATTACAAGGACCCTAAAAGGCTCTGCGAAGAGGACTTAGAGAAGTTGGGGTCCAGAGTGAAAGTGGGTAGCGAGCAAGCAAAAGACTGTCTTCCAGCAAAGCCCTTGGAGGCCACCTTGGACAAGTCAGAGGGCAACAGCCGGGACGGCCAGGGCAGCGATGAGAATGAGGAGTCGGGCGTTGTGGATTGGGTAGAGGTCACCGTTGGTGAGGAGGATGCCATCTCAGACCGGTCGGATAGCTGGAGTCAGACTGCGCCTGAAGGCCCGGCAGAACTAGCTGACTCAGACTCTGAGAGTGTCCCTGCCGAGGCTGGCCAGGCCTAGACAGGTAATGCACCTGTTCCCTCCAGGCAAGTAGAGGAGAATGCCAGTTGTGTTTTTTGCACCATGATCTCATTCTTTGTTGTTGCTGTTAGTTGCCATCAAGTCAGTTCCAACTGATGCTGACCCCACGTGCACAGAGTAGAACTGCTCCATAGGGTTTTCAAGGCTGTGACCTTTTGGAAGCAGATTGCCAGGTTTGTCTTCCAAGACACCCCTGGGTGGGTTAGAACTGCCAACCTTTCAGCTAGTAGTCAAGTGCTTAACTGTTTGCACCACCCAGGAAATCCTGGTTTCGTTTCTTTTTATTGTCAGGATAAATATAAGTTATAGGGTACAGGGATGTTGACATTGATGATGGCTTCTTTTTAAAGGTTATTGTAAAGAAGAAACTTACAGGCTGGTAGATTTTATGTCCTTATTTGCAAGGCTATGATAATGAGTGATCCCACTGCTGCCTCTGGCCTGTTTGGATACCATCTTTTCGGGCCTGTTTATTTCAAAGTCTAGTTGCATTAAATGGGCAGCTTCTGTCCGGAGGTGAGATGAGAAGACAGAGAGGGTCAGGAGCTGGTTGAATGGACACAGGAAATCAAGGGTGGAAAGGAGGAACGTGCTGTCACAGTATAGGGAGAGCAACTAGGGTCACGTAACTACGTATGTATAAATTTTTGTCTAAGAGACTGACTTGACTTGTAAACTTTCACTTAAAGCACAACAATAAAAAAAAAAATAACAGAGTCTAGTTGCATTATAAGAACAGCACATGCTCTGCACGTTTTGCGTTGGCTGCCGTAAGAGGCAAACGTGGAAAAGATGCGTCTTTTCCTTTTCTTCTGGATTTTTTTTTTTTAAGAGTAAGCATCCAAGTTTATGGAAAGAGATTTGGAGTTGTTTCTTCTAACTCGAAAGGCTTCTAAAGTACTCATGATCTACCTTGTCATGGCTAAGGAAGGGTGCACTGTGTGTCTCATTACGTAGCCATGCTAGAAGCCGCTAGGTGGTTACCCATAACCCCTTCGATCTGGAAGAGACTGCTGTGTATGAGGCCTGTGGAGCCACGAAACCCAGGGGAAGGGAGGTTGCCATGGTTACTAATGGCCATGTCATCCCCATAATGGGACTTGCCACTGAAGACCTTGGTGTTTGTGCTTCAGGAGAAGTCTGTGCAAATCACAAATCAGGGCCCAAAGCAGAGCGGCTAGTTTGGGGGTGACATTAGAAGGGGGTACAGGGAGTGGGAGGGGGAGGGAGGGAGGGAGAGATCTACCTTTGCCAAAACCAAACTGTTACCAGGGCAGCTTGCAACAAGGAGAGGGATGTGCGATTTGCCCAGGTTGACTTCTCCAGCCATCGCTTAAAAGGTCTCCCACGTCCTCATTAAAAACAATAGAATGAAGGTACAAACTTCCAGAATGACGTGTAAGGTCCCAAAGGGAGCCCTGGAAATTATCGTACCTCTTTGTTAATGAACCCAGGTAACTGTGGCCGGCCATGCTGCTCATTCATTCATTCAGTAATAAAATGAGGCACATGGAAAAGAAAGAAAATTCTCTAGAAACCTTGCTTTAGCCAGCTCTGTCGGCTGTTAAAAGAGCAATTTAATGAGAACCAAACACAGACGTTTTAGTGCTATCACGTCTTCTTTCTCCTTTCACTTTCCGGGGGGACGTGCTACTGGGGTGCAGTGAGGACACAGCCCCAGGGAGCAGGGTGGAGACCGGAGGGGGCTGAAGTGTACTGAGGTCACCAATAGCACCAACTACCCACCTCCATCTGTCTACCTCGATTTCTTCCTCTTTCTGGCCATTTTCCCAACTGCTTTCTTAGAAGACCCTACAATCCAGCCACACCTGACTTGTTGAAATGAAGGAGTTATTTTTCTTATCCAGTCTGTTATCAGAATGCTCCTAGACTCCTTTCTTCTATCCTTGAGCTTTTCTGATTGATGGCCTAAAACTACTTGGTTGCTTTTTTCTCCTACCTCAGAGCAGACAGTAAACCTGTTGCCATCGAGTCGATTCTGACTCATAGCGACCCTATAGGTTAGCAGCCTAACGCTTAACCACTGCGCCACCAGGGCTCAATAGAAACAAACAAAAACAAACAAACCCACTGCCATTGAGTCGATTCTGACTCATAGCAGCCTTGTAGGACAGAGTAGAACTGCCCTATAGGGTTTCCAACGCCGTAATCTTTACAGAAAGCAGACTGTCACATCTTTCTCCCACAGAGCAACTGGTGGGCTCAAACCGCCAACCTTTTGGTTAGCAGCCTAGTGCTTTAACCACTGAACCACCAGGGCTCCTGTGTAGACATAGAATTTAGTTCAACAAATATATATTGAGCACCTAGTTAATGTGGTCGGCAACTAACTGAAAGGTTGGTGGTTCAAGTCCACTCAGAAGGCATCTCAGAAGAAAGGCCTGGCAATCTATTTCACCCAAAAATCAGCCATTGAAAACCCTGTGGAGCACAGTTCTACCCTGACACACATGGGGTCGCCATGAGTCAGACTCAACTTGACAGCAACTGGTGTGTGCCCCTTGGGGTGCTACGTACTAGAGATTATGTGCTGAACAAGACAGATAACATGATCCTTGTTCACATGGAACTCACAGGCCAAAGAGAGGAAAGTGCACTTTCCTTTACTAACCACCTGATACGGGATGTGATGGAGATGTCACAGCTGAGTGGGGGAGCACACAGGAGGGGCACCCAACCCAGGCTGGGGAATCCAAGGAGGCTTTCTGGAGGAAGGAACATTTGCCTCAAGGCCTAGCTGATGGGAAGAAGTTGCCAACTGTGGAGCTAAGGATAAGAGTGGTTCAGTTGGAAGGAACAGCTTGGGCAGAAGTCCAGAGACAACAGAAGGAGCAGAGCAGCTGAGGAGCCAAAAGAGGTTTGGTGTAGCCAAAAAGAAGAGTTTGGGGTTCAGTAAATCATAAAAGGCAAACCCAAACAAAACCTGATGGTTTTCCACAGTAGCAAAAGCTGTTCTGAGCCAGTTGGGTTTGCTGAATTTGAGTATAAGGATTCCAAGTGTCCCTGGATCCCAGGGTGATCTCAGATGACACTTCCTGATCCCATCACTGAGTGGGGGATTGTCTAGGCGTGGCAGCTCCCCAGAGGCCCCTGATGCCACCTGTCCCCACTCCTTCTCCCAAACTATGCCACCATCAAGAGTTGAAATGCCCATCTGAGTCAGCTCTGACTGTGCCTGCTCCCTCCCGAGGCCCAGGAGAAACAGGGAAGTGAATGCTAAAACCATAAAGACAACCTTTGGAAGGAAGGATGGAAGGAAGGCCTCCTGATTAACAGACGTTGAGCTGGGTGCTTTGGCCGTACATGGTCTTACCTAATTCTTCCAGCAACCCTGAAAAGTAAGCGTCTCCATATGTCTATAAGCGAGACTCAACCAACCAAGGCGTTTGCCACATTCCCTCGGCCACACTTCGTTCATCTCCAGAGTCCTCACTCTTCCCACTGCTGCCTCCGCCTCTACTTCTGACAGAAATTTACTGTTTCTTGTTGACACTTCCTCCCCAGTGGGGATGACAGGAATTGTGGAGTTGGCTGTTGAATTACCATGAGACAGTGCAGAGACGTAGCAGCTAGCTGTTCCCCCCAAAACTAGGAACACCCAGGAGTCCTGTTTTGTGCTTATTTATGGTAAAGGACACAAGTGTGAGCTGGAGAAAGTTCGCAAACAACATTCTAAGATCTGCTTGATGCCTGGCGGCCAAAGATGTTCTTCCTAGATCATCCCTAATAGGCCTCCTGGCATTTTGGAGGTGTCATTATATTGAGAAGGAGCCCTGGTGGTGCAATGGTTAAGCGTTCAGCTGCTAACTGAGGGGTCAGCAGTTAGAACCCACCAGCAGCTTCACAGGAAAAAAGACCTGGCAATCTGCTCCCATAAAGATTACAGCCTGAAAAACCCTATGGGGGTTATGCTCTGTCACATTGGGTCTCTACAAGTCAGAATTGACTCAATGGCACACAACATCATTATACTGAGAAAGGGGCAAGTCTGCCTTCTGCCAAAATCAGCACTGGTGGTAGCATCCAAAAGCTCTCCCAAGTCCTGTACAGGGTCACGCCTTAATTGAACTGTTCAACTTAGAAGGAAGAACTCTCTCCAAATGCCTTCACAGCTTTTATGAGCCAAGCACATGAATCCCTTGAAGTTCATAAATATTCAGCGATGTCCTTGTTTAAACGTATATTTATTTAGAAACTTGCCAGTTGAGTTCAGCTGTTGCACATATAATAATCCTGAAAATAATTCATGGTTTTGATTTCATAAAAGGTGTCATGTGATGTATGTATGAGAGAGAGACAGAGACAAACAGACAGACTTGGATAAGCAGCTGAGAGCTGACTCCAGGATTGGATTTCTTCTGCACAAGTGAAACATCCCCCAGCCCAGCCCTCTGCTTCAAGCTTTGCACAGCTCATGACAGCCATAGACCCAGGCCGGGCTTACTCAGCCCTGAGGTTAGACACAAAGACCAGGCATCATTCCAGGCCTTTGGGTTGTGTTGCCTTGATACAGGCTCTGGGTCCAAATGATTACCAAGTCAACACATTGAGAGATCTGTCCTAGTAAGAAGTTGATAAATAAATTCCTCTTTTCCTAAGAATGTCTCAAAATACTTAAGCAAGACATTGTCAGACATATGCCTTGATGTTTGGCCACATGGAAGATCCCATTACTGCTACAATAAGAGTTTCCATTTATTGGTACATGCCATGTGCCCAACATTGTTCTAAGCACATCTCTTAAGTCACTGAAATATCATGACACCCCAGTGAGGTATCATTTTCGCCATTTTACAGAAGACAAAACTGAGGCTCAGAGAGAATAAGTGACTTGCTTCCTTAGCTACCAGGTGGTAGAGCCTGGATGCCACCTCTCGTCTCTCAGGCCAGGCCCCAACCGCTGTGCGTGGCCCACGGCCTCCCCAGTGGTGGCACCACCACCATGGCCCAGGCCGTGGTCAT